TTACACCTGCAGCGTCTTACACCTGCAGCGTCTTATACCTGCAGCGTTTTACACCTGCAGCGTCTCTTACACCTACAGCGTCTCTTACACCTACAGCGTCTCTTACACCTGCAGCGTCTTACACCTGCAGCGTCTTACACCTGCAGCGTTTTACACCTGCAGCGTCTCTTAAACCTGCAGCGTCTCTTACAACTGCAGTGTCTCTTACACCTGCAGTGTCTTACACCTGCAGCGTCTTACACCTGCAGCGTTTTACACCTGCAGCGTCTCTTACACCTGCAGCGTCTCTTACAACTGCAGTGTCTCTTACACCTGCAGCGTTTTACACCTGCAGCGTCTCTTACACCTGCAGCGTCTCTTACAACTGCAGTGTCTCTTACACCTGCAGCGTCTTACACCTGCAGCGTCTCTGCAGTGTCTCTTACACCTGCATCATCTTACACCTGCAGCGTCTTACAGCGTCACAGTTACTGCTAAGCTAACATGCTACGTAGCGCTCCACTCCTCTCCTCTCCTCCTAACATGAGCCAAGGCTGTACTTCTAAACTCCTGAAGTGCCATTTTCAATCTGCAGCTCATACTTTTCCCTGAGATGGAGATGGCGAGTTGCAAATCCCACGTAATGGACCAACGATGAGGTGCAAATCTTTAATCTATTTTCTCCTATGGGAGAAGTTTCTTCTGCAAGAATGAGTTGTTTTCCTTTCTCCAATCATAACTCTTTTCATTTAAACCAAAAAGTTCTACTTTGGTCTCATCGTCCACAAAACGTTCTTCCAACAGTCTTCTGGTTTGTCCACGTGATCTTTATCAAACTGCAGACGAGCAGCAACGTTCTTGTTGGAGAGCAGAGGTTTCTCCTTCAACCTGCCATGAACCATTGTTGTTCAGAGTTCTCCTGATGGTGGACTCATGAACATCAACATCAGTCAATGTGAGGGAGACCATCAGTTGTTAGAAGTTACCCTGCGGTCCTTTGTGACCTCACTGACTATTCCACACCTTGGAGTGATCTTTGTTGGTCCACCACTCCTGGGGAGGGTAACGATGGTCTTGATGTTCCTCCATTTCTACACAGTCTGCGTGACTGTGGATTGGTGGAGTCCAAACTCTTTACAGATGTTTTGTAGCATTTTCCAGCCTGATGAGCATCAACAACTCTGTTTCTGAGCTCCTCAGAAATATCCTTTGTTCCTGCCATGATCCACTTCCACAAACATGTTGTGAAGAGCAGACTTTGATAGATCCTGTTCTTTCAACTGACTCTAATTTCACCTTCAGATTAACTGATAATCCTAGAGGTTCACATACTTTTACCATCACAAATATGTCATGTTGGATCATTGTCCTCAATAAATTAATGACCAA